TCATCAAACCACCACTCATCAAACCACCACTCATCATACACCACTCATCAGATTTCGTGGCAGGTGCAGCAATTCGTGAACCTCCATGTGCTGCAGATTTCGTGGCAGATGCAATACAAAATGCGTTTTCGAGAGATAGCGGACGCACGAAATGCTGTATTTTTCAATAGAACCGGTGGCTTCGAACCTGGCAAGTCTAGCTCTGCGGAACGACGGTTGCGAGACGGTCTCGGGTCATGGTCGGTCGTCCGTCCATTGTGATTAGGTTTTCACTTGCCTCTTGAATCGTGGCAGGCGCAGCACTTTGTGAACCTCCATGTGCAGATTTCGTGGCAGGCACAGCGCTTTGTGAACCTCTATGCGCAGATGTCGTGGCAGGTGCAGCACTTTGTGAACCTCCAGGTGCAGATTTCGTGGCAGGCACAGCACTTTGTGAACCTCCATGTGCAGATTGCGTGGCAGGTGCAATACAAAATGCGTTTTCGAGAGATAGCGGGCGCACGAAATGCTGTATTTTTCAATAGAGCCGGTGGCTTCGAACCTGCAAGTCTAGCTCTGCGGAACGACGGTTGCGAGACGGTCTCGGGTCATGGTCGGTCGTCCGTCCATTGTGATTAGTCTCTTGAAGTGCAGATTTCGTGGCAGGCACAGCACTTTGTGAACCTCCATGCGCAGATTCCGTGGCAGGCACAGCACTTTGTGAACCTCCATGTGCAGATGTCGTGGCAGGCACAGCACTTGTGAACCTCCAGGTGCAGATTTCGTGGCAGGCACAGCACTTTGTGAACCTCCAGGTGCAGATTTCATGTCAGGCGCAGCACTTTGTGAACCTCCATGTGCAGATTTCATGGCAGGCACAGCACTTTGTGAACCTCCATGTGCAGATTTCGTGGCAGGTGCAGCACTTTGTGAACCTCCAGGCGCAGATTTCGTAGCAGGCACAGCACTTTGTGAACCTCCATGCGCAGATTTCGTGGCAGGCACAGCACTTTGTGAGCCTCCATGTGCAGATTTCGTGGCAGGCACAGCACTTTGTGAACCTCCATGTGCAGATTTCGTGGCAGGTGCAGCACTTTGTGAACCTCCATGTGCAGATTTCGTGGCAGGTGCAGCACTTTGTGAACCTCCATGTGCAGATTTCGTGGCACGCACCGCACTTTGTGAACCTCCATGTGCAGATTTCGTGGCAGGCACAGCACTTTGTGAACCTCCATGTGCAGATTTCGTAGCAGGTGCAGCACTTTGGATTTCGTAGCAGGTGCAGCACTTTGTGAACCTCCATGTGCAGATTTCGTGGCAGGCACAGCATTTTGTGAACCTCCCTTTGCAGATTTCGTGGCAGGCACAGCATCTGGCGAGCTGGAAGCTGAGAACTGGCGGCTCTTGCAGTACAACTTTAGTACGCGGAGCAATTACTGGCGACATTGTAGTGCAACTTTAGTACGCGGAGTATCTGGCAAGCTGGACGATGAGAACTGGCGACTTTGTAGTACAACTTCAGTACGCGGAGCAATCTGCGCAGCTAGAAGCTGAGAACTGGCGACTTCGTAGTACAACTTTAGTACACGGAGTATCTGGCAAGCTGGACGATGAGAACTGGCGACTTCGTCGTACAACTTCAGTACGCGGAGCAATCTGTGCAGCTAGAAGCTGAGAACTGGCGACTTCGTAGTACAACTTTAGTACACGGAGTATCTGGCGAGCTGGACGAGGACAACTGGCGACTTTGTAGTACAACTTTAGTACGCGGAGTATCTGTGGAGCTGGATGGTGAGAACTGGCGACTTTCTAGTACAACTTTAGCACGCGGAGCAATCTGTAGAGCTGGAAGCTGAGAACTGGCGACTTTGT